GGGCTGATGACAGTACCTGCCCCATAAGCTTGTTGGGTGAATTCAGTGAAGTAATCTACATAAACTGCTTAGCACAAACCAGCCATTCTCATAAGGTTACAACACAGTACATGTTTTTCTTTGCTAATCTGTATTTCCTACTTTTGGGGTCAACAATTATGTTAATTGGGTAATGAGAAAGAAAATCTAAACCTTTAAAAATTATTTTAAATGTTTTAGTTGTGGTAAAGCACAACAAAACTCACGGTCTTCACCATTCTTGAGTGTACAGTTCAGTCGCATTAAGCACACTGCGTTGCTGTGCATCCGATCTTCAGAACTCTTCCTCTGCAAAAGTAAAACTCTATACCCATTAAATAATACCAGCTGTGGGAACACCATTCTACTTTCTATCTCAATGAATTGGACGGGCTTAAGTACCTCATAAGTGGAACTGTACAATATTTGTCTTTTTGTGGCTGGCTTATTTCACTTAGCATAATGTCCTCAAGGCTCATCCATGTTGTAACACATGTCAGAATTTCCATTTTAAAAGCTGACTACCATTCCATTGCATGCACACTAGAGTGCTTCTACCTTTTTGGCTATTGTGAATAATGTACCCATGAACATGGTATACACATATTTCAAAGTTCTTTTTTAAAAAGAGTATACTTTATTGATTTTTTTACAGAGAGGAAGGGAGAGGGATAGAGTTAGAAACATCAATGAGAGAAACATCCATCAGCTGCCTCCTGCACACCTCCTACTGGGGACGTGCTGGCAACCAAGGTACATTCCCTTGACCAGAATCAAACCTGGGACCCCTTTCAGTCCGCAGGCCAACGCTCTATCCACTGAGTCAAACCAGTTAGGGCAAGTTCTTTTTTAAGGAAAGAATATTATAAGCTCCCCTAAATCTCCTAAAGCTCATAAAACACATGTAAATGGGGACCACAGATCTGTGGTCTTTGGCTCTGAAGGTGCTTCCATCTTTAATTAATAAGTACGTTAATGAATATATTTAGCTTTTTATTGGGTACTTATTCTTTGGTGCTAAATATTTCAGAAGATTTATTTGGAAGTAACATGGTCAACAAAGAATGGCTATAAGATAGGTGCTACTTTTCCTTCAAAGTCAGGAAGGTTGGAGAGAGTCAGCCCAGGGCTCATGTTGCCTAGACTGGTATCAGAGTCTAAATTCTCTTTCCTTGTAGTGCCCCAACCCTAAAGCTTTCTTCTCAAGGTCGTTTGATGAGTCAAGGTGGTTGCTGCATTATTTATGCCCAAATTCCAGCCATCAGGAAGGAGGAAGAATAGAAAGAGTACTTCCTCCTTTAGATCCCCTGCCATTTCCACCCCGTTGGCCAGAAGTTAGTGGAACTCGGGTGAAAACGGTGCCCTCCATGTTGGGATTAACAATGACTCAATGTGCACATTGCTGAATACACCCACAGGAATGATTTCCATTCTAAAGAAAGGTAGCCTGGTTGTTTCAAAGAATTAGGAACTTACTCCGTGATCAACTTCCTGTTGCTCAGGGGTGGGGTGGGGTGCATCCTTCAGGCGCTCTTTATGCATTCCTCATTATCTCCCCCTTCCCCCAGCTTCAGCTCAGCCTACAGAGCGCCAGAAAAGGACTGCCCCCTTCTCTTACAAACCCCGTGTTTCCTGCTGGTGATAGCTCTCTGAGGTTCCTGGACTGCCCTCCCCGCAATGAAAGTCTCCCTCCCCCACCTTCTTCAAGGCTCAGCTCTGGAGCCACCTTCTCCAAGAACTTAATCTCATCTCTCTTTAAGCTTCCAAGGCAGGCATGCTACCTCTTCCTCTTACATCCACTCCCTACCTTGCCCCGCATTCATTTACAAACTTGCTGTGTGTCCTTACCCGACTGTGAGCTCCTGGGTAGCACCTTCCCTTAACAGGTCTACAGCGCGCCCGGCCTGGCGTCCTTTGTGAGGTAAAGCCCTGGCGTGTTGTGGAAGACTGTAGGCCCTGGGCCCTCGGGGTTGGTACTGCAATTCCTTTACCAGGGTGCCTTTGGGAAGGGTCTATTCACTTCTGTTTATAAGAAAATGGGTTGATGTAGCTTCTCTTTAAGTAACTCGGAATCCACGTTACTAAGTTCTATACATAGTTGGATTTTTCAGTGCAAAGTAAGCATCAGAGCTTTGCAAGGAGCTGGAGAGAATTTCTCCTGCCTGTGTAGGCCTGGCTCCAGTTGAATCTGGTTTGGCTCTATACTTCCCCTTAAAGAGGAGGAGGCAGCGCTTTGCCTGAGACCAGGGCAGGCCCTGAGTTACATATGGTCTTATGGGCCCATGACCCCCATCCCCTTGAAAAGTGTCATAAACAGAGAGCCAAACACACGTCGTTCCCGGTTTGATTTCTGGCAAGAGCATTTTGGATTTGGGTAGTGCCGCCATGTATTTTAAAAGTGAAAGTAGATCTATGTGCCTTTCCTAGAGGCCTGCTTGGTCTTCTGGTTCTTTTCTGGCCCCAGCGTATCTCAGTCTTGTGTAGGCAGAGACCAGCGGGTAGCTGTAGACCAGTGCCTTGGAGGGTGGTGGCAGTGGCGGTGGCAGTGGGTGCACTCAGACGCGTTCTGATCAGCCATTTGGGGAGAAGGATGCTTTCACAAGGTGGGCCCATTTGCTGAGAAGACAGCAAGCGAGGTCACTGGTGGCAGCCGATGAGAACAAATAGGAAGACAGACAAATAGGAAGCGTTTGCCTAAGGTTTCTGTACATCATCCACGAAGGGTTTTCCAGGTGGCTTGGGGAGTTGTACCTTCAGGGAGAGCACCCCCAAGCACCAGGCCCCTGGGTAGAGGAGTGCCACACACACCGAGGTTCCTCATGAAGGACTTGGTCATGCGAAGCCTGGAGGCTGTGTGACCGGTGCCAGGGGAGGCCTATCAGAACAAGTCACCCGCAGCTCTTCCCAGGTTCTGCGAGTCCATAACGGGTACTAATTCCAATCTGCCGCTGAATCCAGGGCAAGGAAAGGCCGCCCAGCCGCCCCCCTGTTCCATTTCCTGAAGTCGCCATTAACACCCTTATCTGAAAAACCCTGCAGGGGGAATCTTTGTAGATGGAGGAGATAGTGGTTTCAATTGATGGTACTTACTGTAGTGATAAGTTCTGATTATATTTTTTTGGCAGTCACTTTAGATTGGAAGGCTGTTTTTTTTCTTTTGTTTTTCTTTCTTCTTCTTCTTTTTTTTTTTTTGCACGTTCTCTTTCTTTATGATTAGTAAACACATTAAGCACACTCTGATTTTCAAGGAGCTGCCTGGCCATGGTTGTTATTTGAAGGGGGGGGCGGTAAACCCAACCACACATCATCTTTCATCTCTTTTAATTTAAGTTTTACCCTAAAAATCTGTTTTGAGAAGGAAATGGAGCATGCCAAGCTAATGACAGCCTTCCCGTCTCTTGTTTTTCCCACGTCAGAGCAATGCGCTCCTGTGAGCTCCTTGGCGTGCCGGGATGTTGGCAATGCTGCATTAATTAAGTGAAACCTCCAAACCACTCGAAAAAACGAAAACAAATAAACACCCCCGTCCCCTCCCCCGAAGCGGGGCGGGGTTAAGATGAAACTAGACTAAATGTGTCAGCAAACAAACTAGTTTATTTTCAAAGGCACAGTCTCTGGGAATGCAGACAGCCCGCTCTGCTGGGAGACTCCTAGGTGCGCGCATTCCGCTGAGAAAAGCGCTGGGCGAGGCAGGGACAGCCCCTGGGATCCACCCAGGCCGACCCGGGAGGATGGCGTGCGGGTCCCAGTCTCCACTCTCGGGGAGAGGAAGCCGGCGAACCACGGTCAGCTCCGAGGACCACTGACCATGAGGTCCCACACTTCCCAAGCACCCCCCGATTCCCACCGCACCGTCACAATTTGGTTACAAAAATCCTTCCCTCCTCTGCGGCACCTCCCTTTGAGCAGAGGGCGCCTGGGCTTGGGCGGGGGGCCGAGCCGGCGTG